GAGAAAGGACGATCAATAAATGCTTCGAGACATATTCAACAAGTATTGGTGAATCCTTGTAATCGCTCAAGTCAAACTGGAAGTGGAATTCGATTAAAAAGATGGGAACATGTCTTTCCACAACCAAAATTAATGAATTCAGTTAAATGGTCTGCGCTTTACACTCCAGCATGTCTTCCTTTAACCACAGATCATTTTCCTGTAATTAATGAATATAGTTATGAAGAAGGTACTTATACAATCTCTGTGGATCCTGAGACGTTCTCAATAAATCAGGAACATAGCACTGAAGAAAGTAAAACTGAAACACTATTAAATGAAATAATATCACAACGTTTAGCTCAAGGATATCAATTGATTGTACCTTCTTCTAGTTCTACTAATGCTACAGACAATTCAAAGAGCATTAAATCTACAAGTAATATCGCCGATAATCTTTCGATAAGCCCAGAATTTACCAAGTCACCAAGTTTCAGAAATAATAGAGAACCAACCCCGCAATTTATGCAATTGAATTCGTTTGCAGTTTCTAATCCATGTTACCTTAGCATGGGACGTCATGTCCACAAATTGACTTATTATCCTGCGGAACATGTAGAAGTCAAGAGATACCTGCGTAAAACTGAATATAAGCAAGAACCTAAAGAATATTCTTGTGTTGTATGGCCAAGATGCCAAAAATCTTATGAGCTTAGAGTGGTTAAGTTTAATTATCCAAATGTTAATTACAAATGGAATCATGTCGATCAATTAGCTTGTGGATATCAGGATGATCTTTCTGATTCAGATGATTTAAGGTTTTGGAGGACAAGATTTGTATTGATCCCAACAGAAAATGTTCCAAGCAATCTGTTGAAAACTGCAAATGAAACCTTGGACGAAGAAGAAATTCGAGTAAACGGAATATATAAATTTTTTGAACTTTTTGAAAAAGCGTCTTGGATTCCATCAAATGAGCGAAAAGAATCTAATAATAAAACAAAAAAAGAGAACATAACTTCACCTCTCCAACCTACAACACTTGACCCATCAATATTTGTGAAATTCCCTGAGGATGCGTATTCACGACGGCCGTCTGTTATCCCAGCAGATGAAAGACTTAATAGAGAATCTAAAACTCAAGCAATAGTTTCAGCGATGATGAATCCAACTAGTGGAATCGTACGAGATAGACGATGGCATTTACGATTTTATCAAAATGCAATTGTTGGGAATGAATATGTCGACTGGCTGTTAAAAAAATTCCCTGATATTAACACTCGTGAAGATGCTGTGTCATTTGGCAACGAATTACAAGAAAGGGGAGTGATTGAACATTGTACTAAAAGACATCAGTTTTTAGATGGGTATTATTTTTATCAAATAAAAGAAGATCACGCAGAACGAAAATCTGCAAAAAAATGGTTCGTAAGTAAAGCCGCAATGTTTTCGGCATCAAGCACTCCAAATTCCCCCGCTACAACTGCCGTATCAACAGATTCTGCAAAACGACCAGTGGTCGAATTAACGAAAGCTATGCAAATTGACATTGATCCATCAAAAAAGAGTGATAGAAGAGAAACTGCTACATTACACTACGATGTGGTGTTTAACCCTGATAATTGTTATCATTTTCAGCTTCATTGGCTAGGTTGTACAGCACGACTTATTGAGGAATTACTTCAAAAATGGAGCGGAAATGCCGACAGGTATGGACTGAAACTAGTCGAAGTACCTGTAGAACAGGCGATAAGTTTGACCGATAACAATCCATTTCAATCACCCACCCTAATAAAATTATCTGTACCACCACCATCACTGGAATCACTGGGTAAAAAGTTACATCCATTAATAAACCAGCATTTCTATTTTGAAAAACAATTGATTAAATACTTTAAGTTTATATTGGATGTTGAAGCCGATGATGCATTTCCTAAAGATGTAGAAGTTAAATACTCGTATAGTAAAACACCATTTAAATATTCACAATATATACACAGGTCTGGAGTTGCATTTATACAAATTTGTGAAGAAGGATACTTGTGGATGAATAATAGATTATTTACAACACACAATCCATCGTCATCGTTAATGAGCAGCGCTATTGTTAGGAATAGTGCGCATTTACCAGCTTCATTATTAACCAATTCGAACCTGATTGGTGGTAGGGATCCTAATTTGATTAGTGGTAATTCTAGGGATTCAAATATGATGAGCAGTAGTGTTAGGGATCCAAATATTGCGAGCAAGTGTGGTACAAATTTAGCGCCAAATCCTGATATGTTATTAAAAGAATTTCAGAAATTTTGTGAAAATGAAGTACTATTGAGAGAGTTTTGGGATGAAGTTATAAGTAGATTGCCAGAGTCAGTTGAAGATGAAACGGAGGAAGAGTTGCAAGAGCCTAATGATGTTGCATAATTCATTAATTGTTGGTACAGGTGTAATAGCTTTTGAGATACAACATTTGGTTCGAAAATAGTTTTAGGCACAATTAGCATCATTATTTAATATTAAAGTGGTATGAAATACTACTTAGTTGTACATTAATAATGGAAGTATGGTATAAAATATAATTCACAAAAGTATTTATTTATTTGTAAATATATTTAAAGAATAAAGGTATAAAGTTATCCTTACCTCGACCGTACCAGTAGAAATAAAGTGGGTAACCCTTTTTTTTTTCCTTAAATCCTAAATCCTAAACTAATCATCTATTCCAAATTCTATTATATTTGCTATTATTTAACTTTTTTTTATCCACGGACATTTTAAATTGATAATGTTGAGGTTTTTCAATTCATTATTGTCTGAACTATGACCGTTATAATAGAAATATCAAAAATTCAGCTTTAGCATTTTCCGTTTGTAATTTCTAAACGTTTTGATCTGCGATATACTATATGGTCAAACTTTTCAGGGGCTAAGGCAATTATGTTAATCAACACTAGTAAAAAAACATGCATAAATTGTGAAAGGTTATCATTACTGAACTTAATATTAGAAATAAGCTTTTACAACGCCTTCTCGTTCTTTGA